TTTTTTATGGCTGAGTAGTACTCCATTTTATAAAAAATCCACATTTTGTTTATCCAGTCTCCAGTTGATGGGCATTTGGGCTGTTTCCGAGTTATATTTTAAAGTGACCACCTAAATAATATATCAATTTCATGAAGACATTCTTTTGGAGATTAAATGATTAATTTTTTGTCATATAATATGTGGAAATTCGTGGTATTCAGATATGGAAATTGTGTGTTTGTGTTCAAATTTTGCTGCCTTCAAGTTATCCAATCTTCATAAATTGTTCGATCTCATCTGCCTGAGTTTGCTTTTCTGTAAAATGTAATTAAAATTAACCACATCCAATACTAAGTTTCAAACATTGTAATGCTTGTAAAATCCTCCAGTCAATGCCCTATAAACAAATTATTTGCAGCCACTAAATGGGGCACACACCTGTATTCCAGGAGGGTAATGTGGGAGAGTTGGTCACATATTTGAGTCCTGCCTGCTTAATTTATTTATATCCTGTTTCAAAATAGTAATAATAAAGGAGGGGCATGTAGCTCAGTGCTACAGAGCTCGCCTAACATGCATGAGTTTCTGAATTTATTCCACAGTACACACACACGCACGTACACACAAACATTATTTGCATTTCTTAGAATAAACATATCTTGAATATTAATTTATTTCAATAATGCATTTCATATCTATTAATTGGAAATCAACTTTACTGACGAACCAGACAATGAGTATAATATATTGTAGAAGCCATTAATTTACCTATCAATTTAAGAATCTTGAATTTTTTTTGTCCCCTAATTATAACTGTTTACAAATACAAAATAAAATGTCTTTTTAAAAACTAGGTAGGTTTCTCAGTAGTAAAAATGTTTGCCTAGAGTGTACAAAGACATATTTTATCCAAAGCATCATCAAAACGAAAACAGAAACAAAAATCAAATAAAAAACCTATCAATGTGTTAAATGTGAATTTATTTATAAATAACTACATACATGGCCATCTTTTAATATTGAATTTTAATATTAAATTATTGATAACTTGTATCATTACACTATACACTTACAGTCTTTACCTCTTTACATTATTTGTGTAAATTACAGATGATACTCTAATAAATTTTCCTAGGAAGTAAAAGATAGTTCTGAGAATATTTACCAATAGAAATTTTGTCCCTTTAGATCCTTAGCAAGATTTAAAGTTGTATTTTGCTGTAACTTCAATAAATTCAATAATGTCACTTCAACATTAGTGTACTTATATTTTTCTAAAATATTAAATAGGTAACTCTTGAAGAACTACACCAAAGTGAAATTTATTTATGTATTTATTTATTTATTTTTATTTATTTATTTTTGGGGGTACCAGGGATCAAACTTGGGACCTTTCCATTGCAAGGCACACGGCAGCTCCACTGAGCTAAATCCTGGCCCTCCAAAGTAAAATTTAAAATACCTGGGAGCTGGTTAAAGTTTGACCCCAATAAACTAAATTACTTAATTTAAATCAACTACATCTCTCACCTTCAGTGATTAACACTGATACTTCAGAGAAAGTAGTGTAGGCAAATTATTGAAATGTCTTCTTCAACAGGTAGAAGATCATTTAAGAGCTTTTTATTTTATCCCCACCTTACAAATAAGGAAACCAAAGCTCCATTTTACAGCAAAAAATGTGATGGCAGTAGAATTTGAACTTATGATCTGAGTTCTCCAACGCTTCAGCTTTTAATCAGTACACTATATTGTGATTTGAAGTTAAACAAATCTCATCCAAGCTCTGTACTAGACAGAAATCATCTTGTCTTCTGAACGAGTTAGTTTCCTCAGATCTAAAAATGGAAATAACAATGCTTAGCTTATTGGGTTGGGAAGATTACATGAGATAATGTCTGCATAGTGGTAATAAGAGAGCTAGTGACAACAGAAGCATTCATAGGAGGTGTTATAAGTAATCTATAGAATGATGTATATTGATATTGACTTAGACCCACTACCTGTTACTTGTATGCTTTATGAATATACACTTAAAATAATAGCATGTAATGGTGATATATTTACTTAAATTACATTCAAATGCAGTGAGTTTCAAGTCATGAACATGATAATCACAAATTTGAAAAAGTATTTTGAAATAATATAAAATACAAACCAAAATTCTATGAGGTAGAATAACAATGTATTTCGGCAGGGATCAAGTCAATTTCTGAAGCTCCTACTCCTGTTGATATTGGAAGATTTACATGTTTCTAGCCTGCTGGGAAGAAAGCACTTTACATTTAGAAACAACTTGAGTTGTTCCAGGAAAATAAAGATCAGTGAGGCTCAGT